GATATCTTTTCTGGGTTTATGTTGTTTCTGTTTAAGTAATCCCAAAACACATATGTGGTTGTGTGATTCTTTTTCTTGAGATTTGATTGGATATAATTTACGGGTTTTTGGTTCTTTGATTATTATATCTAAATATCCAGCCATCAGTGGCCACACTCAACTCAAGATCATACACAAACAAGATCTCCCTCTTCGTATTCATCCTCCACACGGTTTTGGCAGTCGGGCTCATCGGGTTCTTGATATTTAAGGGCGTTGAGGTCCTGATCGGGCAGGGCCGGGCCCGGAGTCGAGAACAAAGGGTCCTCCAATACTTCCTGCCCCAGGTTGAAGCTGCATCCCTCCTCAGCATAACACTCGCCTTCGCCTGGCAGAAGGCAGTCCGCGTGTGGCCCAAATTCATGGTCCACTTCATAATCTGGAGCTCCTTTTTCTTCACCCTGGCCGCTGGCATTCTCCTCGTCTGTTTCCAGCTGCCGGCCACAGACGGTATAGGCGTCCTTTACATCGCCTTTGCCATCGGCAATGGACTTTACGCCTGCTGGGTTTCACAAAGGACAAGCTTCTGCTCTAAGGTCTTCATCAAGGCCCTCGACCCTGTTTCCAAATTCTCGGACATAAACCATCCCACTTACTTGATGCTCGGGGCAGGGTTCCTGTGGATTTCCTTCTGGATCTTGGCTGTGATTGGAGCTTTGAGTTTTTATGTTCCCCCATTGATTATACTGGCGTTGGTCTTGAGCCTGGCTTGGACGGCCGAGGTTATGAGGAATGTGGCTAATTTGACCATTAGTAGGGTGATTGCGCTTTATTACCTGAGGGGCATGCAGTCGAGCACCCAATTCTGCTTCCAGAGGGCTCTTTCTAATAATTTGGGGAGTGCTTGCCTTGGATCGCTGTTTGTGCCGACCATTGAGGCCCTGAGGATTGTGGCACGTGGGCTGAATCTTCTGGAGGGGGAGGACGAGTTCATGTTTTCATGTGCTCATTGTTGTCTCAGGGTTATGGAGTCCATCTTCAAACGTGGTAATGGGTGGGCTTATGTTCAGGTATACCAGTGATTTGTTCTTGAAATTTACCAATTTTTTTTTTTT